TGCGATGATGGGCTCAAGTATAGCAGGGATTGTGGGGCTGGCGTGGGATCGGGCAGTGTTTCGTTCTGCTGTGCATGGGGTCGCTATGAGTCGGAAACGACTCGACGGCACTTAACAACAACAACAATGAGTGTCAGACACTGTGCCAGGTACTGGGAATATAGCAATAAACAAAACAGACAAAAATCTCAGCCCTAATGGAATTGAGATCCTCATCCTAATGGATGAGACAGAACCAATAAATATAATGTGATTGCAAGTGATGATAAGCACTAGAAGAAAAGTGAAGCTTGGAAGAATATAGAGAGGGAAAGAGGGATAGAGGGTTGTTTAGAGAGGATGGCCAGGATAGCCTCTCTGAGCAGGTGATACTGGAGCCAAATGAGCTGAGAGGTCCATCCATGCTTTTGGAGGGAAGAATGAGTCAGACAGGGAACAGCAAGAGCAAAGGCCCTGAGTGGGAATGCACTTAGTGTTTCCGAGGAACAGCAAGGATTGCAGTGAGGCTGGAGTGTAATAAGTGAGCGTGAGGGTGGTAAGAGACAAAGTCAGAGTGGTGAAAGTGATGATAAGGATGTTGGGAGAGTCTTGGTGATGGTGGAATGTTCTGGGACAGAGTCCCCCCCCATCCACTCCCCTCTGACCTTGTTTTCTGGAAGGGTACAGCTCAAATCAGGAGACAGATACAGATTACTTTAATATCTAGTAATAGATACTCTTCAGAGCCCAGAGCCCAGGGAAATTAGTGAGGCAATGATTTTTTCTCTCTTTGTTTGACTTCTGCTTTGTTTATCTTTGGGATTAACAACAATTTGAAGGTGTTGGAGAAAAAAACAGGTTTGAATCAGTTCAAACCAGTTCAGTTATAGCCAACTAAGCAAAACTGAAACAGACCAAATGTTTAAAACTTGACTGATCTAGAATGTGAACCTGAACGGGAAAGTTTACAGATTGAAGCCTAGAATGGGAGACTCAGATGAGGAATTGTGAACCCTTTCAAGAGCCTGATGAATAACATTGGATTATTGCCAGGAATGTGGAGAGTGATGTACATCATGGTTGGCCACCATCTTTGAGCCGAGCACTGGTATTTTTGACTCAGCTGGTCAAGAGATTTGGTTGCTATGCAATGCCAGTTGGGTTTGATTACCAAAAAAAAAAAAAAAAACTCACTACCATCAAGTCGAATCCGACTCATAGCAACCCTTCCTTGGGTTTCTGAGGTGGTATTACCACAGAAGTAGATTGCCCAACCTTCCTTCCGAGGAGTGGCTGGTGGGTTTGAACCACTAGCCTTCTGGTTAGCAGTCAAATGCCTTAGGCACTATGCCATTAGGATATATTATGTAAGCCTTCCCTTGCTTTCCAGGAGAGATGTGCTACAATCTGTTGTGGCAAAGCAAATGTTGGGAATCCTGTCCTCTCCTCTGGCTACTAGTTAGTAGGTAGGCCAGAGGCATCAGCACATGCAGGCACCACCAGGCGAGTTCTTGATGTCTTGTTCTGGCAAGTCTTTAATTCTAGAGATAGCTGCGGGTTCCATCATCATCATCACTTTGTTGTGTGATCTTGAGCAAGTTTATTATCTATAAAATGGAGTGGGGTAGGGTAGAGTGTGCATTGGGCTTGAATGATAGTCAATGTCCTTTTTAGCTTTGTAATTTCAGTGCATCTACAAAAAGTAACACTTGAACAGCCTTAATTAACAGAGCCTTGGGTGCAAATAGCTGTAGTAGGATGTGGCCTAGGGTGGAATTCCTGCAAGCTTTCAGGGTTCCAAGAGACTTAGGTGGGGGGCGGGGAGGGGAGTGGAAGGGAAGAGGGAAGCAAAGGGAAGGAGAAAGGAAGAAGGAAAAATTACAGAAACAGACTGCCTCATCTTTCTTCCACTGAGCAGCTGGTGGATTTGAACCACTGAACTTTTGGTTAGCAGCCAAATGCCCTAACTGCTACACCACCAGGGCTCCTTAACATCCCCTACAAACCCAGAAAAACAGTTTTTCTGGGGGAGGGGGCAGATAAAAATACAGGCATCTGAGAACAAATTATAGGGCCTGAACTGGGTAATGACCCAAGAGGGAACAATCCATCTCTTTGGAGTATGTCATCTATGTGGAATCTAAGTTTTACATTGAATCCTAACTTCAGCTCAAGCTAAACCATACTGGCCAAGTCTTTCTTGGTTTCCTCCTGAGGACTCACCCAGAATCCTTTTCCACCACTAAGAAAGATGACACCAAGTGCCAGGGGTGGGTGATAGTGGGTTGGATATGGCCTTTCCAAGATAAATTATGGATTTGTTAACGTTTTCAACAATGGTTCCCGTTCAGGCTACCACACCCTGCCACACCATCTCAACTGGACCTTTGCTGGATGATAATTCAAACTTCCTGGACACTTTGAATGGGTGGCATGGAGAGGCTGCACTGTGGGTGGTAGGTGTTAGATTATCTCTAGGCATCTCCTTGGGCTGATCTATAGAGACCCAACAGAGGGATTGGCCCATGGAAAGAGAGATTCTGTTCTGTATAACTACCAGAGTCATCCCATCACTCTGAAATTTGGTGGGGTTCAAGGGAAAGTAATCGTAGGCTCATCTCTGCACCCTTATAACTCCAAGTATGGTCCTGAACCAGCAGCACTGATATCACCTAGATCCTGCTCAGGCCCTACCCCAGACCTGCTAAATCAGAACTGCAGTTTAGCAAAACTCTGGGGGATTCATGTGTACTCTAGGGTTTGAGAAATGCTAGAGTGATGAAAGTCACACCAACCTAGAAGCAATGAGCCCTGCATTCTATGAATATCATTAGCTGGATGACTGTGGGCCAGTTACTTTCCCCTCTCAGAGCCTGTTTCCTCACTTGTAAGAGAACAGTAACCTCTGGATCAAATGTATGTAAGAGCATTGCCCAGTTGTTGCTGTTGTGATGTGCCATCTGATCCCAACTCACAATAACACTATATACAGTGTAGAACTGCCCCATAGTAGGACTGTCCCATTGTTTAGAAGACAAGAGAACCCCTAAGAAGGTATGCTAAGTGGTTGTCAAAGGAGAACAACCTGTGGGTAGGCAGGGGAAGGTTCTATCCCAGGCTGCCCCTCCAGGCCTCTCTTAGACAAATAAGTGTTCATTACCAGCAGGCAGGTCCTTTTTCACAATGAAGCCTGACTAGGGCCCAGGAATTAGGGAGACAGGGGTGGGCCCTGGAGCAAACCACGGAAAGCCTTTTCACTGACCTCCTCCCTTGGGACTGGGAAGTCAGCTCTCAGCCCAACTCATGTTTCTCAAGCCCTTTGAGGGTCACCTACTGCAGGCATTCATCCCTGGGCACCATATTTCAGGCCTCCTTCCTTGATCATTCCAAAGACCAAATGGAGCCCTCTGCCTCCGTAGACACAGTAGAAGGATGGAGCAGAATGAAATCACTTTAATAGCACAGTACACTTTAGGGCCAGGAGTCACAGATGAGGGGACACCGTGTCTTCCACGTGCACACATTGGCAGAGGTGCACAGATGGATGCACTGGACAATCTAACAGACAGGTTTTTCACATTGAAAACTTAATAAATAGATACTTAAAGTGTCAATCTTTAGAAACAATGAGTTATGACTGTGATTATTATTCTGCCTTCTCTGAGATGAGAGGTTGCTTCCAGTCAAGATGAAGAAGGCTGGGTCCCCTAGAAGGGGTACTCATACTCCTCAGCACTGCGGCGGCCAAAATCCATCCAGCCCATGTAGTCCCGGTCACTTATTCTGTGGCTGGGGTCCAAGCCCTGCAGGTTCTTAATGATGGACATCCGGCCAGAAGGAGCTACAAGGGCCAGGGAGGAAAGAAACAGACACATCATGTCTAAGAATACTACTAGTTTAATTGTAAATGAGAACAATGAGAAAAGCCAGGCAAACATAACATACATCTTGTTAAGAATGTCAAAGTGCTATCAAGATAGTGAAATTGCTGGACCAAGATCTAAGACAGAAGGATCCATGTTTGTGTAACTGAAGTTGTTGTTGGGTGCCTTCAAATCAATTTTGACTTATAGTGACCCCATGAGACACAGTAGAACTGTGCCATAAGGTTTCCTAGGCTATACTCTTTATGGAAGGAGCTCTGATGGTGCTATGGTTAAAGCATTGGGATGCTAACCAAAGGATGGGTGGTTGGAACCCACCAGCCTCTCTGTGGTAGAAAGATGAGGCAGTCTACTTCCATACAGATTTACAACCTTAGAAACCCTATGGGGCAATTCTACTCTGTCCTACCCATAATCGACTTGATGGCCATGGGTTTGGTGTTTATTTTTTAATCTTTAGGGGAACATATCATTAGGTCCTTCTCTCATGGAGCCTCTGGGTGGCTTCCAACCACCAACCTGTCAGTTAGCAGCTGAGTAATAGAAAGGGCAATATTTAGTATTTACATGGATTTGCTTTGTGTTCTGCAAGTATTCAGGTGAATTCATGTCTTCCTACCTTTTATGGACTGGGGAGTCCCTGGGTGGTGCAAATGGTTAAGCACTTGGTTGCTAACTGAAAGGTTGGAAGTTCAAGTCCACTGAAAGGTCCGTCAAAAGAAAGACCTGGTGATCTGCTTCCAGACTATCAGCCAATAAGAATACTACACACAGTTCTACTCTGACACACATGGGGTCATCAGGAGTCAGAGTTGAATCAATAGCAACTGCTTTGGTAGGGGACTTGCCTAAGTGTTTCTTCTTCTTCCAACCCCCAAGGCTATTTTTTCTCCTTCATGTACATGACCTCAGCAAAAGCCAACCAAGAATTTCTCTGGTTAACCAAGAAAACCAAACCCACTGCCACAGAATTGGGTCCAACTCATAGTGAAACCCATCAGATTTCCAAGACTGTAAATCTTTATGGAAGTAGACTGATTCATCTTCCTCCCATGGAGCAGCTGGTAGGTTTGAACCATCTACTTTTTCATTAGCAGCACAATATGTGAAGCTAACTTCATTTTTAAAACAAAATTGAGAAAAAGACACACCATCAGATTAAAATCCTCAGCCCTGAAGGGTGGGTGAAGAGGTAATAAATCAGTCATTTTGACCAAAACACAATAATTGAACCTGAAATAGGCTCTTTGGGATTGAAGCTAAATCCTTGCAGACAGGGTGATTCTCGTGTATAATTCAAACTGAATGAGTAGGAACAGGAAAAGGTGGTTTCTTCAGAGACATGTTTACACAGTCCTAGCCCATAGGTTGTACCGAGTGACCTCCCGGCATATGAATTCAGTATAATGCCCTCTTCTTTGCAAACTAAAAATCAAGAAAGGTCCCTCAGGGAACTGGAAGGACAATCCCAGGCTGCTTTGAGGGTAGAGGAGCAGATGACTCTAGGGCATTCTTACAGGGTTGGGGTCACTGGTGCGGCAAGAGGCTGCTCTTACTAGTTTATTGAATAAAGACACAGCAGAGGCAGTTACCCTGCCATACTGGGTCTTCAAATAAGCAAGCTAAATTAACAAAAAGAAACAATTTCACAGAACATCACCCTCAACCTCTCTCTTCTCTCCTCCCACATATTCCCTCCCAGCCTAGAACTAAGAGTTGACCCAGCACACTCCAGCCACCCTTGGACCTATTCCCAGCCTACGCAGAAGAAAAGCAGTGCCTATTTAGCTATTCAACACCTTTAAAGTGAAATATTAGTCCTTGCATTCAGCAAAACCTACAGACCCAGTTACCTGTCACACAGACACTGAGGTTTCCCCCACCCTCCTGCCTGCTCTGATCATGTATGCCCACTCCAAGGGCTCAGCACTGGCCGAATTTCCAACCAATGGAAGCAAAGTGACAGCTTTGATACAGTGAGGTGCCTGGGCTATTGGTGGGGACATGGGCCATGGCACTGTGCTTGCTACGCATCTCAATGTCTCTCTTCCACACACAGTTCTGTCCTCACTTTGCATATATTTCCAAGGGTCCTCACTCACCTCCCCAGTGCCTAACATAAGGCAAGGGCTTACACATTACTTATGGTTGGACGGAGGGGTCTGGCTCTTTTAAACTTTAAAACCTGGAATGGGCAGTACATCTGGGAAGCTGGATGGTTTCCAGACATTGTGAGGAGGGCAGGGCTTGGATAGACTAAGCCCTGCTGCTGCCTGAATGTGCAACCTCATGTTGGTTACTCACCCTTCTAGAGCCTCCGCTTCCAATTTGACAAAATGGGGAAACTACTACTGCGCAGACAATACAGACGTAACATTGGAGCTCTTCTGGGCAGGGAGCAAGTACACACTAAATGTTAGATATCTCCTCAAACCCCACCCCCTGCTCGCCCACAAAATAGGACTGCTTCTCTTCAGATCATTGAAAGCTCTGGGGATATTGCTATTGAGCACTGCCCAAAGAGTAAATTACCTTGCTTTGGACCTTTAAGCACTATATGTACTTTGTTGTTGTTGTACATGCCGTCAAGCCGATTTTTGACTCAGAGATACCCCACGTGACAGGGTGGAAATGGCCTATAGGATTTTCTAGGCTACAATTTTTACAGGAGCAGAGTGCTAGGGTTTTCTCTTTTTCAATGAAATTAGGAAAGCAAAACAGAAGCCCTTGGGCGAGTTTGAATCACCAACCTTTGGTTAGAAGCTGAGCACTTAACCATTGCACACCAGGGCTACATTAAGCTATTAATCGCTATTATTAAGCTCATTATATAATTAAGCTCATTATATAATACACAAAGCTCATTACATAATACACAAAGCAGCAGTTGCCATTGATTTGTAGCGACCCCACAGGACAGAATGGAATTGCCTCATAGGGTTTCTTAACCTGTAATCTAAAGGAGTTCTGGTGGCATAGTGGTTAAACTGTTTGGCTGCTAACCAAAAGGTGGATGGTTTGAACATCCTACTATGGTAAGTAGCGACTGGGACCTTAAAAGCTTGCAAGCAGCCATCTAGATGCAACAATGGACCTCTCCTTGTCCAGAGCAAAGAAGAATGAAGAAAATCAAAGTTGCATGGAAACTATGAGTCCAAGGGACTGGTACACGATGCGATCCTCAGCCTGTGACTATGAGACCAGAAGAACTAGATGATGTCCAGCTACCACTGTCAACTACTTGGAGGGGGATCTATGCAAGAGATCCTAGATAGAGTGGGAGAATAATATGGAACAAAACTCAAAATGATTAAAAAAGAAAAAAGGGGGGGGACCATATTTATTGGTCTGACAGAGCCTGGTAGAATCCCTGAGACAATGGCCCCTAGCTTCCCTTCACGTTTGGACTTGAACCTGTAATCTGTAAGGTTTGGGTTGTTGTTGTTATGTGCTGTCAAGTCAGCCCCTACTCATAGCAACCCCTCTTTGGGTTTCTGAGGTGGTATCACTATGAAAGTAGATTGCCCAACCTTCCTTATGAGGAGTGGCTGGTGGGTTTGAACCGCCAGCCTTCTGGTTAGCAGTCAAGTGCCTTAGGCACTACGCTACCAGAGCTTCTGTAAGGTTTGGGTATAGTGGGAGAAAAAAGTGGGACAAAACTCAAAATAATAATAATAAGATCAGGCTCCCTGGTCTGATAGACTGGTGGAACCCTGGAGAAGAGCGCCTTTAGTCACCCTTCAAACCTGGAACTGAACCCACCCCCATGGTTCAAGTTTCAGCCAAACAATAGACAGGTCTATGGGGTGAACAAACAAAAGATAGGCATATGAGGTGAACATTTACACTAGGTAGATACACTCCTTGGAGAGATCAATCATGGGAGAATAGAAGGGCTATGCATGCACAGGGAGACAGCTCAGGGGGCAGAAGTGTGTGGGTGGGAAGGACACAAGGAAGAGGTAACTGTGGGGAAGAAGTGGGAAGAGAGCTGTTGCATTGTGGGAAATTACAGTCAATGTCATGAGACAACAAAATGTATATGAACCACTATATGGAAAATGAATTTGCTCTAAACTTTCACCCAAATCACACACACACACACACACAAAGTGGGTGGTATGAACCCACCAGCCACTCCATAGGAGAAAGATGAGGCAGTCTGCTTCTGTAAAGATTTAGTCTTGGAAACCCCATGGGACAATTCCACGCTGTCCTGTAGGGTCACTATGAGTCAAGAATCAATTCGATGACAGTGAGTTTGGTTTTTGCTTTTGTAATCTTTACAGGAGCAGACCATCACATCTTTCTCCTGCAGAAACACTGGGCTTTAACTGCTGACCTTTCGGTTAGCAGCTGAGCATATAACCACTGTGCCAACGGGTAAAAATCTGATAAAATCTTAAAGCATGTAGAACACTCATAGAAACAGAACAGTTTCTAAATGTGTGTATATTTATTCCTGGCTCATAATTGTCAAATAGAAGTCTATGCTTGTTTTCTAGCCGGCACAGATCTATGGGTGTTGGCATCTAAAGTTTCAAGTGACTGCTGTTTCCGCCTGGGTTGTTTGGACAGCAGGCTGAAAGCAAAGGAAGAAGGGTTGAGAAGAGGTGTGAGAAAGAACTTTCCAACTAAGATTTGTGCTGTCAGGACCTCTTGTCAAGCATCTGCCCTGGGAAATAATATGGTATCTGGCTTTTTTCTGGAACTATTTATCTATGATCTTTCTGAAGGTAGGGAGAGAGGTGTGGAATTGATTAGCTCTCAGATTTTCTTCCAGGGGAGAAAAAACTGCCTAGAGAGTTTCAGATTGATCTGACTGAAGTTCAGCCCACATTCAGGGTCAGATATTAAATTACTTTCAGACAGATAGTCAGCAGGTGCTCAAAAAATGTTTTCAGACCTTTTCTGTTATCCTACTAGTATTTTCTTTTTGTTGTCTTTTTTTTTCAACTTTTTATTGTGATGTGAGTGAACATTTACAGAGCAAGTTGGTTTTCCATTCAACTGTTCATACATGTTTTGTTTTGTGACATCAAATGTAGTCCCCACAATAGCACTTTTCCCACTTCCTCCCTATGGTTACCATTTCCATCTGTCCTTCTTTCCTATCCATTCCTGCCTTCTGAGCTTTATCCCTGGACAAATGCTGCCCTTTTGATGTAGTATGGTTGATTGTTCTAAGAAGTTTTTACCTTCCTGGTGTTATTGTTCACCCCATAAACCTGTCTATTGTTTGGCTGAAAGTTGAACCATGGGGGTGGGTTCAGTTCCAGGTTTGAAGGGTGGCTAAGGGCTATCTTCTCCAGGGTTCCACCAGTCTATCAGAGCAGTAAGCCTGATCTTATTATTATTATTTTGAGTTTTGTTCCACTTTTTTCTCCCACTCTACCCAGGACCTCCTACTGTGTTCTCCTTCAGAGTTACTGCCGTCTCTTTCAATGCAATTAGCATGAAAGCAAAACAGAAGTTCTGGCAATTTCCCAAAGGGAGTGAGAAACACAGCAAGTCACCTTCTACTCATTCCTTCTGAAATCCCCTAGTTCCAGTCGCACCTTCATTTGAAACCATAGGAGACTCTGGACGGCCAAATCCTCCATTTTCCTTTCCTCTAGTCAAGCCCAGAAGGAGCCCTGGTGGTGCAATGGTTAAGTGCTTGGCTGCTAACCAAAGGGCTGGCAGTTCAAACTCACTCAGCAGCTCTGCATAAGAAAAGACCTGGTGGTCTGCTTCCCTAATGATTTGTTGTTGTTGTTGTTGTTGTTATGTGCCGGTCGAGTCAAACCCGACTCATAGCGACCCCTCCTTGGGTTTCCGAGGCAGTATCACTACAGAAGTAGGATTGCCCAACCTTACTTCCAAGGAGTGGCTGGTGGATTTGAACCGCCAGCCGTCTGGTTAGCAGGCAAGTGTCTTAAGCCCTGTGGAGTACATCCACTCTGTCACATGGGGTCACTATGAGTCAGAATCCACTTGAGAGCACCTAACTACAGTCAAATCCAGCAGGGCAAGAGAGCTTCCCGGAAAACAGAGCCTGCCTGCCCCCCACCTTACCCAGCAGCATTAGCTGAGTGGTTTTAAGGTCCAGCTGTGTTGGTGCAGTTAAGCACACTGCCCCACACCAGAGTGCTCACCACTGGTGTCACTGTGAATTGAGTTGGTAGACAAACAGGTTGGGTACTCATTTCAAGTTATGCCAAAAAGAACCCAAAATCAGTACTGTTACGTAGTTTGATGAAAACTGACATTGTCACTTCTTTTTTTTAACTGTTGTCAGAACTGAAGCATTGACAGTATTGATCATATCTTGCTAGAATGTTTAAACTGTCAGTATCTGGTGGCTCCTGGTTTCTTTGAATCTACAGAAGATAATATTTAGTGGATTTGTAAACCCTTAAAGAGAGGGCTATATAAATTTAATTCATATTTACAAAATGAATTTAAATTTTATCTTTTAATGTCTTCATAAAATGACTTGAATTTAGCAGTATCGGGCCAAAAATTAGTTCAAAGAAAGCTTTTTAAAGGTTCTTCCTAATCAAATAGCTCCATCCTCTCCTCACTTTGCTACACAGTAGGTTCAGAAAACTGTAATGTCTGGTGCGGTGTAGTTGGGAAAAGGAAAATGAAAAACCTTTTAGCTTAACCTGCCTCTTGGCGATTGACGGGAGACATATCTCCATCAATATTACGCTGGAGAAGAGGATCAGGATTGGGAGCCCTGCTCCTGGGCAGGCGTGAAGGATGGAGAGGGGCCATCATTACCTTTCCGGGCCTGCTGGATATATCTGGCCAACAGCGCTCCCAGGTGCGCTCTGGGCTCTCCGTCCACCCTCTGCAATACCCTCAGGGGCCTCCGAGGCGCCTCTTCTGGCCGCGGCACTCCAGGACCCGCTGGGTCCGCCGGGGGCGCGGGCTGCGCCAGGGCGCCCGCAGCCAGTACCGCCATCAGCACGCACAGGCGAACTCCGCTGTTCATAGCTGGTGAGAGCAAGAGGGGAGGGGAACTTTAGCGAAAAGGTGGGGCCCCATGGGCTCCTGCGTGATGTCAGGGCACCTGTGGCACGAACAAGGGGTTCAGTCTAAACCCAAGGACGCTCCGGACGAGCCAAGCTCACAAGAGGACTCACCGGGCACAGCCTGGAGTCCGGTGGCTACAGCACGCGCGTCCAGGCGCACCCGGCTTGTCTTTGGGTAAACCACACCTGGTGCCCTGGGAGCGCACAGAGACCCTTGTCTTTTGCCATGCTCAGCAGAAGGAATGTTTCCTGTTTTTCTTTAGGTTGAAGAAATGTTATTAGAGAGTCTGTCTTCTAACTGGGAAAGCAAGAGATTAAGATAGTGCGGGAAATTTCCTAAAGAGAAAACTCGGTGGGAGAAATGAAACCTTTGGAGAAAGGTAGTTTGTTTCCAGGTAGCTAAGAAGCTGTCAGTAGGGAAATAAATGGTGAGAAAAAAAGAAATACAGTTTAAAATGTGGGAGCAATAAACAAATATTTACAAAGTTTCTTCAAGGTATACATGGGAATTGGCATCAAACCACTAGACAAGTATAGGTAGAGTTTTTTAAAATCAGTTATAGGAGCTCTGGTAGCATAGTGCCTAAGGCACTTGACTGCTAACCAGAAGGCTGGCGGTTCAAACCCACCAGCCACTCCTCGGAAGGAAGGTTGGGCAATCCTACTTCCGTAGTGATACTGCCTCGGAAACCCAAGGAGGGGTCGCTATGAGTCGGGGCTGACTCGACGGCATATAACAACAACAACAACAATATGCGCTCAGTGACTGGCAAAGTCCCGTTATATTTCAGATCCGGGAGACCCGCACGTCTCTATCCCTAACGCATCGAATTTTGCAGCATTATTTACTAAATACATTCAAATCTTAATAACGTGGTATTTTATTTGAAACGATTGCAAAGTACAGAGCATCTCTGTGTAAATCTAACAAATCCCAATTTGTGTGCTAATCCTTTGTCAATGAATATTACAGCGTTGTGCGCATAAGAAAGATGCGCGCGTGTGAACATCTTTAAAGCAGCTTCACCCACCCAACACACATTGCTAGATCCAGCGCCGTAATTTCTCACTTTAAGAAATATCTGTCATTCTAACGGTCAGACAGGAGGCACGAAAAATAAAATGCAAAAGGGAACAAAAAGATTCTTGGATTCCCCATCGGCTAGAGGGAGAACCTACCTTTGGAGTAGGACGCAGAAGACTTCAGGTTCTCACCACAGCTGCAAACAGCCGAGCCAAGTTCTGGGTGGGCGGGCGGCTGTCTCTTAAATAGCCCCGCCTGGCGCCGTAGCCCAGTCATCTATTTACCCAGTGCTGACGCAAACGGGCAACAACACGTGCTCAGATGGCGGCCACTTGGGCGACAACCGATTGAGGTGGCTCCTGGAGGAGAGAGGGAAATGGCCCAGGGGAGCCAGGTTAACCCTCCCCCCCCCCCGCGGGGTGTCCAGTGGCGAGCCCTCCTCTTCACCTCAAGGCGCTTCCTCCTCCATCTCTGTCCAGCTCCCTCTCCCTTGCCCCATTCCAGCGCTTTGCTCCTCAGGGCGGGAGACCTGGGACTTCGAGTCTCCTTCCGCTGAAGGAAGACTGGGCAATCTACTTCCGTAAATATTTACCTCCTGGGAAACCCAAAGGGGGTCGCTATAAGTCAGAATCCACTCGATGGCAGTGAGTTTAGTTCTTGTTTTGGTTTCGGGATGGAGAAACTGCCCGCGTTTAATCCTCTGTGGGTAATTCCGGACAGGACCTTTGGGGGACACGAGGCTGGGCTGGGTGTCAGCAAAGTGTAATTCTGAGAGGAAGGGCTTGTCGGCCCCTCTCCACGCATCCTTGGCAGCTCAGATCTCTGGACAAATGTGTGAACTCCCTAGGGGGAGGGACGACTGGGTTGATTTCTTCACTTTCTTCCCAACCTCATTAAAAGCCCTTTAAGTTCTTCAAGATGTTAAGGGCAAATGTTCCCGGGTCAGTGAATGGGCTTCGGCCACAGATGGAGGTTGGCGTCCTGGACCTCGCTTTACGCAGCTGTAACGCAGCTGTAAAACAGGGATGACAACTATCTGGCTTTGCTCAGAGGAATCCAGCTTAGGAAAGGGCTGCATTTTCCTTCCAGGCAGAGGCACCACCCGCCCTAGGCGTCCGCAGCTTCTCGCCACCAAGTGGCGCCAGCGAGTGTCCCATAGAGTTTATCTCCCACTTTACTCTGGCCGTCGAGGACATGGGCATCCCGAGTCCCACCTCTTTTACATTCTCCTGCGCTCGGACCCCCAGGCTTATTTCCACCAGAACTCGGGCTGCTAGGCTAGGCGATAACGACCCGGCCTCCATCATTCACCCGCCCTTCCCTGCGTTGGGGCCCTTGGCTTCTGACCCGGGAGATCCCAACCAGCACGCAGCCATCTCCCCCCCTGAAGCCGTTTGAGCTGGCGTTCTCGGGTTACTGCTTGAGGTCGCCTCGTCCCTGTATAGGCATTGCCACCTCCATTTCATAGAGGGCAATCAGAGGCGCGCAGAAGAGCTGCACCAACCCACCGCCCCACCAGACCTAGGCAAGAATTTGGTAACGTTTCTTTCAAAAGGAATCCCTATTGAACTTTGTCCACCGGGCACCCAGGATGGCAAGTTTGTGGGTCACCTGCGTTGAAACACCCTTCTGTCCTTCTAAACTAGAGGGGCAGTGGCATTTCTGCAATCTAAACGCTGCATTTTAAAAACAGCAGCTGGATAAATGTTTTCCAGTGATTCTCCCACGAGGCTGCTAAGTTTGTGAGTACTAGAGGATCTAGTTACATTTGTAACAGTGGCCAAGACATGTCTAGAAATATGAACTTGTTATAGAGCAGTGGTTCTCAAACTTTAGCATTGGTTGGTGGCTGCCAACCTGAGGTGGTAGGAAGGAGTGACTGTTTGAAGTTTGAGTGAAGGAGAGAGAGCTGGTAAAGAAAGAGCCAGAGGAGTGGCCAAGAAGCTGGGTAGGAAACATCATAAAGGTGAAGCCAAAGGTGACAAGGACTATGATAAGCTGGCAAAAGGGCCCATGGAACAGGCCTTTTTCATTCACTATAAAGCTGTGGCAACTCCCCCCCCCCCCCCCAGGAATGGGAATTCTTAACAGGGATGTGTTATAGAAGATCTTCTGGGAAAATGAAAAAAACAAGAAGGAATCTGAACACAGGAAAATTTTTCCTTTTTAATGGGTCAGAGGGTGCTAATAATTCTGAGCATTGTTCTTAAGAAAGATGGTCTGGGCCCTGAGCTTTTTTTCTGATGCATATCTGCACTAAGGAGACTACATTTACTCACTATTAAGTCTTTGCTTGATGCTTTCTGAGGAAGATGCTTTTGGTGCTTGTTTCCACAGCTCCACCTCCACTTCTGGCTCCAGATACACTGGGCTGGGCAGTTTTGAGCACAAGGACAGCATTCTCACCTAAAGCTTCCAAAACTCCCTTCTCCACTTCTCTGCTCAAAGCTCAGCCCCCACAGAGGTTCAGCCTGGAATGCAAGGGTATTAACTTCTCTGAGGGCAATCCTCAACGTGCAAGAGATGGGAATTTCCAAGCTCCTAGTCTCCCTGTAGGAGCTCTGGTAGCATGGTGGCTAAGGCACTTGACTGCTAACCAGAAGGCTGGCAGTTCAAATCCACCAGCCACTTCTTGGAAGGAAGATGGGGCAATCTACTTCCGTAGTGATACTGC